AGATAGGTCTTAGTCATCAGGTCTACTCCACTTCCTTGTTGCCTGCTTAGACTCTTGGCACTCTTAGGTGAGCAGACTTAGTCAGCCTGTGTTGCCCTAACAGAATGACAACTCACATCACCTGCTGATCAACAGCAATGTGTCCCTCAATCAGATCAAACACCAATACCCCAACCTGTGTCTAATCTTCCAGCTCCTGTTCTTGCACCAGAGCAACCTCCGGAAGCTTATCAACTACCTGGAACACAAGAACATGCTGCTCAAAATCTCTATCTCAATGATTTGGCTGCACATGCAAGAGCCATTATTGGAGAGGGCCCTTTGCCTGTTGTGCTCTCTCACCAAGAGCAAATTGCAAGAAGAGCTGCAGGCAGACAACAACCAGCAAGAAATGTGAGCCAACCCTCAGTTGCTATCTCACACCAGGAGCAGTGCCTTGCAAGACGAGAAGCAGATGCTTGCATGGCAAGGTCTGCAGCCCTATGCAATAATGCCCATACTGCAGTACATCATGAACTTCAGCAAGCCACACAAGTGGCAACAGCAGGTCTTGCTCACCTTTACCTTGACCAAGATGCAGTATTTGGCCCAGCATACCAAGCACCGATACTTGAAGAGGCTGAAGATGCTGCCAGAGCTGAAGAATTGGAAGAAGAAGCAGAAGAAGCTCTGGGAGCTGTTCACGCACCATGCCCTTGGGATCAAGATAAGGTCCAGCAATATGCTATGAAAGCCCAATGAAACACTAATAAAGTCATCAACCTGGGTGAAATGACTTATCAGTGTACTACCTGTCATGCTCTCCACTTTATCAAGGAACACCAGAGACATACCTCAATGTGTGACCCAGTCTTTACAAAGTGCTGTGCTGCTCGCCAGATTAAGCTCCCACCCTTCCAAGTGGTTCCTCCTATGTTGGTCTGATTGGTAAATGCAGAAGACCCAAATGCAAAGCACTTTCAGCAGCATATCCAACAATACAATCATGCACTCTCTTTGGTCTCTTTGGGTGCTAAGAGGGATGAATGCACTGCAAGGGGAGGTGTGTATTCCTATTCAATCCAAGGAGCACTCCACCATTGCTATGGTCCTGCATGTCCTGGACAAGATACACACCCTTCTTATAACCAGCTCTACTTCCTTGATCCAGTGGCAGCTCAGGCTGAGCATGAGTGCTGTAATCCAGCACTCAAACCACAGATTCTGTGGGAACTTACAGAAATGCTCAAGGAAACACACTTTTATACCCATGCATATCAAGCACTGCAGGCACAAGAGCAGCAAAATCAAGAAGCAGGACAACCCAATGAAGTGGTGGAAGTTCAGCTTCACTTTGATCCCAATACAGACCAGTGTCATTACAATCTCCCCACAGTTGAGGAAGTGGCTGTGGTCTGGCCAAACTCACTCACCAATGAGCCAAGGGATATTGTGCTTCACAATAGAACAGATGGCTTTCTTACAACAATGTGCACTGGCAACCCAGCTTACATGCCACTCCATGATGTCCTGCTCTTTCCACATGCTGAACATGGATGGCACTGGAATATTCCCAAGGTTGGAGAAGCCCCTCCACAGCAACAAGGAGAGGCAGAGGGTGATGATGTTGGAGAGGATGGGGATGAAGCAGCAGGGCACACCTCAGCAAAGACAGCAACTGAGATGGAGTACTATCAATATTGCTTGCATATCTGCTCTCTTCCTTGGGCACAGCATCTCTTCCAATGTGGCTGACTTTTTCAGCAATTTGTGGTTGATGGTTGGGCTTCTGTGGAACAAGATCACCTACAATGGATTGAGCACAATCAGAAGACTATCTGTGCAGAGCCGTACAATGGCTTGGTAGATGCAGCAGCAAGAGCTGATAATGCAGAGCCAGGGCAACATGATCTTGCTCAGATTGGCACACATATCATCCTTCCTGCCACTTTTGTATCCAGTGCATGGTACATGTACCAGCTCTATCAAGACTCTATAGCTATTGTGTGCTGGGCAGGACAGCCTGATATCTTCCTCACCTTGACTGCACACCCCACCTATTTGGCAAGGCAGTGGCAAGAGTCTACACCATCAAATACCAAAAGTGTGGCTTGCCTCACATGCATCTTCTCATCTTCCTTGATCAAGCCTCCAAGCTACGCACTCCACAAGAGGTGGATCTCCATGTTTCAGCAGAGATCCCTTCACAAGACAAGGATCCTGATCTCTTCAACTTGGTGACCTCTCATATGATGCATGGGCCATGTGGGGCTGCCTCCAAGGATGCAAAATGCATGGTGCATGGCAAGTGCAGCAAGGGCTTTCCCAAGAATTTCTGTTCTGAGACAGTAATGGATGGTGACTCTTATGTGTGACTCCACTGTCCTGATAATGGCCACTATATTGAGAAGAATGGAGTTCCTTTGGATAATCAATGGGTGTCCCCATATCCAAAGTGTGTAAAAGCTCATTATTAAGTGTGGCCTAATAGCTGACCCAAAGTAGAAACCTGCTGAAGCAGATCAGAGCACATTGCAATACTGAAGCTTCAATGTGGGTGCAGTTAAATACATTCACAAGTATATCTACAAGGGTCAAGATCGCATCACCTTGGAGGTTGGCAATGAGGTGAAAAGCTATCCTGATGCATGCTATATTGGACCTGTGGAAGCAGTTCTTTTGCTTTCAAATGCATGAAGAAAAGCCATCAATCTATTGGCTGCCTGTGCATTGCCCTGGAGAACATACAGTCTTATTTAATGAGAATGATGAGATGCAAGAAGTGCTTGAAAGTGGTGCAGCAGCCAAGACAAAGCTCACAGAGTTCTTCACAATGAATGCATCTCTCCCAGAAGCACAGTGCACACTCACCTATCAAGAGTTCCCAACCCACTATGTGTGAAAAGGAACACCAAGCAAGCGCTGGGATGTGCATAGGGCTCAGTATGCCATTGGACAGATGTACTTTGTGCACCCAACTGCAGGGGAGCAGTTCTATTTGCAGAGCAGACCCTCCTGGCACATGTGCCTGGGCCAACAAGCTTTGAAAACTTTCAAACAGTGGATGGTATTCTCTATCCAATCTTCAAGGCTGCATGTAGAGCACTGGGTCTCCTACAAGATGACCAAGAATGGATTGGATGCCTTGAAGAGGCCTCCAACATGCAGACTGGCAAACAGCTTCAACTCCTTTTTGTCACAATGTTACAGCACTGTCACCCTGCTGCACCTGGTGAACTCTGGACACATTTCAAGGATCACCTCTGTGATGACCTTCTTCACCAACTTCATCACTCTCACCCAGAGATGACACAGGAGGATGCATTGGACTATGGCCTCTATCTAATTGATAAGCTCCTCTGCACACAAGGCTCCAACTTGGAGGATCCCAAGTTCCATGGAGAATTTCCAGCCTTTCACACAGATTGGGAAAGGGTGCTAGCCCTTGATGATAACCATCTGTTTGCTGAGCAGCTAGACTATGATCAAGTCCAATTGGCAGAAGAGACAGAAGAGATGACCAGCAAGATGAATGAAGAGCAACAACATGCCTTTGATACCATCATCACACATGCAGAAACTGGATCTCTCTTCTGGCTCCAGGGCCCAGGGGGACTGGAAAGACCTTTATATATAAGGCAGTCTGTGCAAGGCTCCACTCAGCTGGCAAAATTGTGCTATGTGTGGCTTCTTCTGGAATTGCAGCACTGCTTCTTCCAGGGGGTTGCACAGCACACTCCATGTTCAAGATCCCCATTGCTTGTCTTGACACATCCTCCTGCAACATATGCAAGAATAGCTGGCTAGCAGCTATGCTGTGAAGAGCCTCCATCACTATCTGGGATGAGGCAACAACTCTATCTCAACATGAAGACCAACTCCAACACTAAACCCTAACCCCATATTATCTGTAACCCCATCCTATATCCCATGAAGCAGTCATCTAAAAACATGGTAAAGCAGCTATCATAATCTTACTATCAACTAGAAGACACAGTAGAAATACTTTAATAATAACAAAGTACCTTAAATTATGTGAGGGCAACACCATCTGTGTGAAACATGTGATCAAATAAGCTGAACAGGTGAGACTGAAAGTGATGTGAACCAATAAAGTTGGAGACATAATGGGCAAGAATGCTCAGACCCAAACAATGTATGCAGTCATATGCATACAAATTAACTAGAGGGTGCACATTGTATACATCTGAGTTAGTAGTAAAGCAGAGAGGCAATTCATGATAACTTAATAAACCAGAATTCAAGCATATCTCTAGGATCATGGGGATCCTCAATGATCAGATCTAAGGAGTACACAGGCATCTAACTAAGTTTTGATAATACTGAAGGCATGTGGCTTGACTATATAGCAATTTAGGGTTACTGTGAGGGCACCACAATCCAGCAAGGCTGACAATTGTCAGGGCACACCATCAAGCAGAGGCCAAACACAAAGATTTTGGGCAAAGCTGCAACCTATTGGGGTGACCTGACTGCTGAACAACCACTGATCATCCAAAAGCCCAACATGAGACCTCTCAGTGGTCCTTGCATGCCTGATTCAGGATCTCTTGTGGTATTGGCCATGTCAGCCACAAGGAGTAGTGAGGGTGGTATGGGAAGAGGGTCACTAATCCCAATACATTGACAATCAACCATGCTTGGCATGTCGCACAAGCCAGTATGGGAGAATTGGGAATGGTAGTAGGGGGGGGTGCTGTAGTTGAGCAGTATCAAGGTCAAACCACAAGGTATTGGAAGTCATAGATGACCAATCATGCCAACATCAGACTCAGGCAGGATGAAGTGTGTATCAGTGGGAGGGGATGGGATCTCAATGGTAACCCTTCATTGATCAGGCAGAATCGAGGGGATGTCAGATGGGGAGGGGTCCAGAGTTGCCTGTCACATAGACTTGGGCAGCATAGTGCAATGCCAGCAGAATCGGCATGGACATTGGGCAATTGGGGTGAGCCATTGGGGGTGTAGTTGGGGGTTTGGTTACTCATAGATGAGAACCTTGCCGAAAGAAGGGGTGTCAGGCTTGCCTCATGAGCTTTTGTAGAGATCAAGCACAGGTTGGACCTCTCAGCTCTAACAGAGTGGCCTATCAGCAGAGACTTCAGATACATTGGCACCAGTCATTCAGAAGTCAGCAGTCTCAGCTGGAGCACCAGCCTTCGGAGGGTACAACAAAGAGTCAGGGTGTGTTGCCAGGTTATTGAGTACCTCGGTCTTACTACCTGAGGTCAATTGACATGATCATGGGCAGTTCACCTCCTTTGAGGGAGATCAATGTTTCGGGTCATACCAGACAGTGGGAATCCTGAGAGACCAAATCTGAGGCTTTTGTGCCCTCAGACCAGTGCCTACATATACATGCCAGAGGAAACAAAAGGAAGCAATAGACTGTGGCTGAGAAACTGTACTTGTCCATCTTACCTCAGGGCAGACCTGGTGACCAAAGGTCTCCCAATCATGGGCAAAGTCTCCCAATCTCCACACTAGGGTTCACCCCTACTTCTCAATTGTCAGCCAAAGCCTCGTTGAAACATGCTTTGAGATCTGATCTGATCCCAATCACCTATACTTGAAGTGCAGGCACCTTGAGTAGGTTGCCAAAATTGCCAAAGGGTGGCTACTTGTTTGATCTGTCAAAGGCCTTGCTGGGGTCCATGACCAAGGCCTACTGTGCTGCACATTCGAGTTTTGAGCTCAAATCCAATCCTCAAAAGCCTCTTCAAACAACACCTTGAACTCAACTGGACCGGACTATTGGAAGCAAGAATGGGACCCTTAGAAATAGCATTAGGTAATGTAGATTAGATATAGATTAGTAGTAGTTTGAAGGTCCGAACTGCTCCAAACATATATAGGTGGATTCAGATACTTTGGATAGGAATGCTCAGACTCCTCTCTCACTTACACCATACCTCACTCATTCAAGATGGGTGATTTTTTAACTTACAACTAATACTACTGCTTTACCTTAAAGTCACTCCTTGCTCTAGCTCCCTCTTAGACTGATCTGAGCCTCAATTCAACTGCTTGACCTTCGGAAGCCACCCTTGTTCACCTCACATGACTTGTTCCCCATCCATTCCTCATTTGGACTCCCTTTGGACTGCTGTGACAGGTCTCAGAACTTATACAAGACTCTTTGGATTGGCATTCGAGCGGCTCTACCTTAGGAGGCCATGATTTGATTAGGTCGGATTTTGTCTATTACTACCTACTACAATGTATGGGCCACCACTGTCGACTCCCCCTCCAGCAGACCTTCTCCTGATGCCTCATTGGAAGGTGTAGAGTACACTACAAATAGTCAAACATGATTGATAGGATGGCCCAAGGGTGTCCAAACTCCGACCCCCTATGCCTTGGGCCCCAAAGTCCTTTGGGTGTCCTAGCAACTTGACAAAGGGGTCAAAACTCTAGTTGACATAACCAACAGTCTTGAGCAAATGTGCAACTTGAGTGTTCAGTCCTTGTGAAAGGTGAACAATCACCAATAGCCTTGCCATCTATCCCAGATGGGGAGAGAGGCCTGTCAGAAGGGGCTTCTCATATTTACTAGCCTCAACTGAGGGGTCAAATGTGTTGAAATGGTGACATTTGGGCCGAATCGGAGTTTGCATAGGAGTTTGCAGAGGTTGAACCCTGACAACAATCAAGGACTCCAAACAGAGAAGAGATAAACTCAATTGAAGGTATCATAGATTTGGGCAGAGCCAAAAGTACTTTGGTAGGTTTTGAAGGGTTTGAGGGGTAGAAATGGTTTCAGTTGAAGATCAAAGCTGTTTATCAAAGTTACAAGCTGATGACTAGAAGATGCTCAGATTGAGGTGAATTCTCAAAGAGATCAGATCTGAAGAGGAAGGAAAAAGGGGAGTAGGCAGGTTTATATATCCAAAGGGAGGGAAGCAAAGTAGAAGCAAAAGAATGTGGCTTGAGAACTGTACATGAAGCATGCCTTTGGAGGCAATTGGTTGACTGCTGACAGAATTGTGGTGTCAAGGACAAATCAGGGCCTTTGTGGGTGCTATGTGACATTTGCATTGTTCAAAGGTTGAGTTATGGCCGAATTGGTGTCAAAGCTGCATGTCCCCTGACAGCAACACCCCTAAGCCTCCTAAACTTTTCCAATAAATTGTGGAGACTCTTACAAGTCTCATCTTGCATCCCACTACTTCCAGTAGGGGCCTTTAGCACTGCTATGTCTCACCCCAAGTGTCTGGACACAGCAGTCTTGTGGTGTCCTCTGCACAATGTCTTGTGTGGCCACTGCCATCATCCTAAGGCAGTTACCAGCATAGGAGGTTCCAGGGGCTTGTTGTTTCATTGCTCCTAGGGCAAAATGGGTGGCCAGGGGTGGTAACAGGCAGTGCCCTGACACATAGATAGTCTTGTGTCATTTTGTCCATAGATCTGATCTCTTAGGATCCTCCACAATACTTGTGTAGTCAAACTAAGCATTGGTATCTCATCAAACTTATCTACTTGAGCAAACTGGGTGATACTGTCAGCTTGTGCTCTTGATATCCTAGTGCTCCTCTTGATACTTCTCTTGAGCTCTGTCGACACCACCATTACTTGACAATATCTGCCAGCCTAGTCTTGCAATATCTCAGCCTGGTGGCCTTGCTCTTTTGTCCCTCAACACATCCTCTATTGACCCCTTCCAGTTGTATTGATGGCAGCCTCATGTCTGGTATTGTGTGCCCTGACAGTCAGGTATTTTGAAGGTTTTGAAGAATTCAGGAGTTCAAGATGTGTGATTTGGTTGAAATGGGATTGAACATAAGTTGACAGTGGGTTGAAATTGGGTGTCCCCTGATAGCAGGGGAGAAGACAGGGGGAGAAGGGAAGGAGAAGATAGGGGGAGAAGAGAAGGAAAAGAAGCAGGGGCAAAGCAGGGGCAAAGGGGGCACGCAGGGGAGGAGCAGGGGGGGAGAAGGGGGGGGAGAAGCAGAGGAGAAGCAGGGGAAAAGGAAAGGGGTACAGAGTTACACAGGGTAAATATGATACACAAAAGTGAGTGCAGTAAACTTGCTTATTAAGTGGATTAACAGTGGGATCAAATTCTTTCATTACAACAAGGAGCAAAGCCAGTTGGGCTAACCTAGTACTATCTAGCTGCCATACCCTGGACTTGTGTTCACTTTACCACACACTCCCCAGACGTTTTCATCCCGAACGTGGCAACTGTGTGATGGCGGTCTGTGCTACACCATCATCAATACTAGCTCCAGAATTACGTTTGAGGAATCGCATCAGAACAGGACGGAGAGCGTGATAACGAGGGTCACTAGGAGACCTATGTAGAAGATGCCGAGTCCGGTAAGACTGCCCATAGCGGGTGCAGCAGGGACTCCTTATTCGTGCTGTTACAATATAAAAGTCATGGGCTACGAGTTGATCCATACTGGGTGTTCGGAAGGACCCAGGGAATAATAAGGTTGTTGTAATTCTGTGATAGGACATCAGTCATGGAAGAACGTGTACATTTGAACAACGGCAATAATGGCAGAAGGCAGCAAACGTCGTGAAAAAAGGGAAACCGTGGAACGTAAGTCCAGCACACCTCGTGGGCCTCACGCACCAATTCAGCGCGATGACTTGTTTGTCAGTGCCATTCTTTGTCGGCTTCTTCCATCCCATCCTTCTTTGATTGCCGTGGATAACATGGGTCCATCCAGGGGTGGCACTGAATATTGCGAAAGGTGACGAGTGTCTGCGAAGGCGACAATGACACAAGGAGGCACCGCGCGTTTACCTGGTTCGCGAAAGTAACCTTGATTTTCTCTCCCTCCCACAGCCCCGCTTCCCCCTATTTCCTTGGAATCCTCGGCTGGCGCCGCCTTGCCGAGCCTCGACATGATCCAGAGCCCGGTTGGCCCTGAATAACAGTCACTGGACCGTCCAGTTGGATCTGATGGATGAAACGTACATTATCCGGAACGTATGCAAACCCGATTCGGGTTGAAAACACGTTCATGTGTCAGGCGCTAGTCCGTACTTGGAGTTCGGGATGCTGCTGGGAAACATGAGGTTGTGATCGCGGACATATCCGTGATGCTTTTTTGGCTAGCATTCAAGCCCGCAAGGGAAAGACCAGGAATGTGGCACGATAGGAACAATGTCACCGGATATGATGGTGCGATTGATATGTGAGGCGATTCGCATGGCAAAGCACAGAGCAAGGCCCGTTCACAGGCAAACTGAAATGAGACGGACACTAGTGACTCTTACGGCGACGCGCCCCTACAACCCCCCCGTCCCTACTTCCCACTTCCCGCCTTACTGCTCCCCTCTTGCTCCTCATACCGACAGACGTACAGGTGTAGTTTTCTCCTTTCTGTTCCCTCCCTGCCACTCCCGCATCATGTCAACATACGGCCGCAACCACAACTGGGCAATCCCAGTGTGTACTGCACCGACATCAATCCTACTTTTTGGATTACGTTCGCCGGGCGATTGCAAGCAAGCAAGCAAGGACAGGGAGAGTGACGGCTAGATGTTTATTGGGAAGCCCGAGTGGTGTATTTGAGTGCGTGTGGTCATCTCCTCCTCTTCCTTGCACTCCTCACAAGCTCTCATAGGACATACCAGCTGGTGCAGTTGGTTGAGCGCCTGATCGATTGCCACTCCACCATCCTCACTATTACCTCCCGTCAGTCAGTGCACAGAATGAACGTCGACCAGCTTCAACTCGCATCGACCAAGCGATACCCCCGAACGGCGCCCTAGGGCATGGAGCACTGCGGAGTGGACTTGTGCTCCCAGCATAGATGCATCCAGTAGCACCCACTCGTCACCTTCGCACCTCCGCATCGTTTAGCGCCAACCCAACCGAAGTGGATTAAGGAACACAGATCCTCGGCGAGCGCCTGTATATATGATCAGGAGAGGAACAGGCAAGGGAGGTCGAAACGGCTGGCGATAGATCCCTCCCATGCGAACACAGATCTTGTGAGGTTCTGTGCCATGATCTTCCCACATCGATTGCTGATGCAATATCGTGCTGTGCAGATCCCCACGGTGGATGAAGAGTAGCCCGGAGCTGGGTTTTCTTCACTTGGAGAAGACGAACGGAGCTTACCTGATGCGTTCTGTTTGTTGGCCTGCTGGATGCGACTGCCGGATGACATTGACGGAGGGTGTAGAAAACGGTGGAAGATGGAGTGTACGCACTTTCGGTAGAGACCAAGACGGCAGACCGCACGACCAGGCGGAAGAAGAAAACCAGGAAGAGGGCATATGATGCGGCAATCCAAGGTGCGACGATGGGCTTCGCATTTAGAAGCCGTCGCCGATGCTATTGGCCGGGTACTTGAGGTTTCGCTGCTCGATGATCCGGCAGGCTGGAGTTGTGTAGGTGACGAGGCTGCTGACTCCTTTGGCGATGCCGAAATACTAATCAGTTGTACTGGCCGTCGAAGACGAGCGAGCCAGAGTCGCCTTTAGCAGGGAAGAGCGGCGATGCCGTTTATCCGGATCCGGCGCTTGGTAAGGTGCTTGAAATCCGTCCGTCCTGCCGCGTTTTGTGTAGAATGTGTCGACGAGTCGCTGCGGCGCACACTTGGCCTCTGCAGGTGTTATGCAGTCAGACGAGGACACAAGGGAGACAATGTTGCCCTTGTACTGGAACTTGAAACTCTCCGTGTCAACTACGACGATGCCAATACCGCTAGTGTACCACGTCGACCGAGATCTCGGGAGTCCACCCGACGTGACCGAGGTCTCGACGCTCGATATAGGTCCACTGGTTGTGGACCTCTCTGCAGAAGGCGTCGAGAATAGCCATGTTCTTCTCTGTTTCCACCCAGTGCGCCCGCTTGGCAGCCAAAACTTCCTGCCGTCTTCCACGCTTCGTTCACCTCGCTATGCAGTGGTGCCCACGTTTGGCAATGGGGCCGCCTCGGGCCCAAAACACGTCCAGGACGGAGCAGCAGAGGACAAGAAACTGTGTTCATCTGTACTAATTACAATACCAACACGATATATTACACAACATAGCTACAATATTGGGTCCGCCGCATCGCTCATCCCCCTGAGCTTCCCAGCTCTCCGAGCCATCTCAACCATTTCCTGTTCCACAAAATTTGCGCCGCAAGAGAGGCTGTTGATAACGATCTTCTGGCTGAAGACCGGTGCCCAGTCTGGCGGAGGCACGTCGACAAGGCGGCGTCTAATCCACTTGAGCACGACTCCATAGTCCTCAATCTCCCTCAAACACTCGGCTGCTCCAGATGCATCGTCTTCATGCAGAGCAGATCCTCCTCACGATTGTTCTTGAAGTTTGGGTGCTGAATTGACTTTGCGATCGCGAAGTCAAGGAAGACAAAACTTCCCGGGTCGTGGTCGGGAACAATGACGTTTGACGGCTTGAGGTCGTTATGCACCACACCTCGCTTATGAAGCTCAGACACCATCACCATAAATTTTACCATCTGAAGGGTAGCTTCGTCAGTCCGTGGCTCTCTTCACTCGGTGATGTGATCTCACCCTTGCTTCTCTTTCCCTCGATGCCTCCAGGGTGTGCCATTGCGGCTGCCCAAATGTCTCCCAGTCACGCTCAAGCCGCCGACCGTCGATCAGCTCCATCACATGTCCGCATGCTCGCTCCCCTAATCCAAGATCGAACTGTATGACCCAAGCATCAGAAGGTGGGGCCAACACTACAAGGGACAAGGAGATGGCGTTAGCATGACGGGGCTTACTTCGTAGAAGCCTCCGGAAACCGGCAGCAATCCCCCTTGCAGGTCGCTCAAAGCGTTGTATGCCCACGACTCGCTGTCTCTCAATCGAGCGGCGGTCCAGGTACCTGCCATGTCGAAACCCTGCGATTCCGGAGTTGGGAACAATGAATCGATGAAAAGCTTTACAACAAGGGTCTGATAGTCTCCATCAAAATCATAAGTCACGGCTTCCCAAACTTGAGCCCAGCGCCGATTGCCAACCTGTAGAGGTCGTGTTAGGTCAAAGTCGAAGCTCACTCCATGTTTGTCGTTGCTCGGCACGGTCCTGATATGATGCCCGCAGCGTAACAAGTTGATTAACGCTTCACGACGTCGGTAAATGGCGAGGTTGCCATCGTCGTCATCGGAGTATTCGTCCTGGTGACCGCCCATGTCGTCAACGTCGCTGTAAGACATCTCGCTTTCTGGCTGTGACTCTGTCTGTTGTTCTCTATCTCGTTGTTACCAGACCAGAACTCCTGTATGGCCGTAGGACAGAATTGTTGGCAAAAGGAGAGAGTAGTGGATGACACCCAGATATGCAGATACGCAGATTTGTATGGAAAGCCGATAGTGGGAAGTTCAATTTCACGGGGAAAACAAATAGGAATGATGATTATGTAACAGCACCTAACCCGAATAATTTTAACCTGAGAAGTTCGTGTTTCAGGCCGCAGTTCTCCACCCATCCTTCCCTCAATGTGATTGCAAGTATACTCGAGAGTCTGTTAATATTATGTTGGGATATTTCTCCCCTTTATTATACTTAATCTCGAGGGGCTATAGGTGATCTAAATATGAATAAAGTCATTCAGAAACTAATATGTGTGAAGACTATCTTATTAGCGGCAGCAAATTGAATGTACGCGTCATCTTGCAAAGCACCGCGTCCCTTAACCAACCCAAGCGCATTTATCCATCGACCTTTGCTCTCTTCCTCTCTCCTTCTCTTCCTCCCACCACCATCCTCCTTCCTGCTCATAGAATGACATCTCTATTCGTCACTGTCAAGCACGGTCCAACAGCTCACTCCTTATCACTGGACACCTCCCAGTCCCCAATGGCATTCAAGCTTCTCGTCAGTGGCACGACGGGAGTACCAGTGGAGAGGATGAAGCTCATGCTTCGGGGCAAAGTCGTCAAGGTGCGTTTCTGTCTTTGCATGTCGTACGCTGGGAAATGGCTAACGACTGCAGGACGACTCCTCGTGGGACGAGTTCAAGCCTAAAGCCGTAAGCACTCTTTCTCCATCAGCAGAGTTCCCAGTTGACAGCATACAGGATCAAACGTTTATGGTCCTCGGGTCTGCGACCGAGCTCCCAAAGCCCCCCGATCAGCCGGTCGTCTTCCTGGAAGGTGAGTGTTCTGTTCTTGATATACGCGGATCTGACTGTATGAAGATATGAGCGACCACCAGTTGGCCGATGCTGTACGTCCTTTTCCCTCTGCTCTGACTTTTGTTGACTTGTTGCGAAGCTACGCATGCCCGTCGGGCTTGTCAAGTACGCTCTCCCCCTTCTAGCAAGCTAAAGCTAACCCTACCAAGCATGGGCAATACCTGCTACATGAACTCGACCCTCCAGCTACTGCGTTCCGTCCCCGAGCTCCAGACCGCGCTTGCGGCCTATCCCAACCAGCAGCTTGACCTCACCGGGGCGTTGCGGGACGTGTACGCCGGGATGGGGCAGACCACAGACCCCTTCTCGCCTTTTGTATTCCTTACTGTGAGCCTGGGTCTTCCCATGAAAAAAGCTCGAGAGGTGCTCATCAGATATGCATAGTTGTTGAGACAGGTCAACCCCCAATTTGCGGAGATGACGAGAACGGGCGGCGGATATGCGCAACAAGGTGCGTCCGTGGCTTTTGACTTTGTTCTGGTTCGCCCCGCTCATATACGACAGATGCGGACGAGTGCTGGCAGCAGATCGTCACTTCGCTCAACAACCTGCCCGGGATCCACCCTGCCCACAGGGGGGACGTGGAGATGGACGATGCTGGCTCTTCTGCTCCGGTCAGGCATTTCACAGAACAGTTCCTGATGGGGGAGATGAGCAAGACGTGCGTGTGTCGATCTGGATGTTTGGGGCCTGGTGCTGATCCGCTTGGGTAGGCTGACGTGTGACGACGCGCCTGATGAGCCACCTACACATTCAAAGGAACGGATCTTCAAGCTGGATTGTAACATCTCTATTAACACAAACTTTATGATGTCTGGGATCCTTGACGTGCGTCCTTGCGCGCACACGTCAGGTCGTCTCTGACAGTCTGGTGAACAGTCGTTGGACCAGAAGATTACCAAGAATAGTTCAAGTTTGGGACAGGAGGCAACCTATACCGAGAAGAGCAGGGTTTCTCGCTTGCCGGAGTACCTGACGGTGCATATGGTTCGCTTTTACTGGAGGCGAGATATTTCCAAAAAGGCGAAGATTATGGTGCGCTCTGGTCAATGCACTGGAGATACAGGCTGACGTGGATGTGCAGCGCAAGGTCAAATTTCCCTTCGACTTTGACGCTTCGGAACTCCTCACCCCCGATCTAGCTAAGCGGCTGCAGCCAATCCAAGGTCGCATACGGGAGATTAAGAAGGAACGTGACGAGCGGCGGAAAGTGCGTAGGAAGACAAAGGATAGCGCGGACGGGAGCGTGAAGAAAGAGGAGGGGGAGAAGGAGAAGCTCGCTAGGCAGGAAGAGGCTGCTGAGCTGGAGAAGCTTGTAGATCCTGGGCTGAGGGAGGACGTAGGTGCCAGCGTGACGGGGTTGTATGAGCTTATTGGTGCGTCTCGCATTCCCGCCTGTCTGGACGACCTAATATGAGCACAGCGCTCGTGACGCATAAAGGCGCGTCGGCGGACTCAGGCCACTATATCGGCTGGGCACGCAAAGACAGTATCACCCCACTTTCTGTCACTGCCTCTATAGACGAGCAGGAAACGGCACGCGATGTGTGGTACAAGTTTGATGATGATAAGGTGTCGCCCGTGGACAAGGATAAGATTGCCCTCCTGGATGGGGGTGGAGAGGACTCGACGGCGTATATCTTGTTGTATCGGTGAGTGGATCGGTACTTGTGTGGATTGAGGCTGATGTGAATGATAGGAGTAAACGGTTGGATTGAGCTATGAGATTGGTAGTGGAGAATAGCAATGTCGATGATGGGGTTAGCGTGTCCCACAACTCCTAATTTTGACTCTTCCTGGATTAATTAGCTTGGAACGATGGAAGAAGGAATGAGTCATCGAGGCCCTCCTTGGTTCCTTTGCTCAGCCTCCATGCCCCACGCGCAAGTTTTGCCCCAGGCTTCTTCGGATTGCTCTTATTATCCTGGTTGCATTTCACCCACACGGGCCTGAGCAGTGAATTTCCATAGCCTGTCCTGCCTTTCGAGCTTATGAGATTCATTGACCAGTGCTCACCCATGAGCACCAATTTCAATCTCCTGTAATACATGGACATTTGATTAACACCGCGTGTTGACCCAAAATGCAATAGGGCATGGCAGGTTATTTTGGGTATTTGCAGGGGAACTTTCCTAGGCGGAACGCCCCGGATAGGATATAAAACTCCGTGTTTAAAACTACCTATCCGACCCTAGGACAGGTCTAGGCAACACGCGGATATTGCAGTACTGTGCGCCCGTCGGCTAGTAAATATTCAGGAGCCTTGCAACACGTTTGAGGATATATGTTGGTCATGGCCGATCACCGCCGTCTTCCCCCTGTTGACATTGATTGGCGAGAGCGGATGGGTGCTAAATATAAGTTGGTACTGAGGGGGCCGTTTATAATAGAAGGAATGATGGACGTCAATGCTCCTCACTCTGGAAAGTCTCTAGCGCTGGTCGCAATCACCTCACATACGCACTCGTAATACGAAACCTTACTCTCACACATCAGCAAACTCAATACACTCTCATTCATCATGGTCCGCTCCTCCACCATTGTTCTCACCCTCACTCTTGCTGCAACGGCGTTCGCCGCCCCTTTGTCTTTGGAGCGCCGAAGCGCTCCAATGGAGGAGCATGAGCAGTTGTAAGCCTGCCCTTTCATTGTCATAAAGCATGTATCGAGAGCGCTGACTTGCGTTCAGTGCAATGCGAAGCGAAATGGACGCTGCTTCCCTCGAAAAGCGGTTCGACTTCATGCACCACCTTCACACAGCATTGAGTTGGGTGAAAAGCAACCCAAAGAAATCCGCCGCCGGTGCCGCCGCCGTCGTTGGTTTCCTCGGTCACCACATATGGAAAAAAAAGCAGGACAAGGCCCTCACGAACGCGCAGCCTGCCAGGCAGGCGACCGATGGGGAGGTGCCTGACGAGTCGCCGACGGACGGGGGGTCCGGCGGGGACGCTAGCAAGTACCGGAGACGTGACTTGCAAGATGACGACGAATACCTCCTCGAGATGAGGGACATGGAAGACAACACGCCCTGGGTCGTACTACGCGATGCCAACATGGAATACGTGGCATCGACGTTAGAGAAGCGCGGGTCGTTATCTGACATGGAATAGGGTTAGGTTTGGTGATGTCCTCAATTAATGATCCATCGCCTGTACTTTGCATCCACAACCATACACCGTCACCATAGAGATCGGTCATCTATTGAAGTATGCTTTTTCGCCCCCCATCTGTCTTTCCCCACTTCCGCATAAATACCCCTCGTGGGGACGGAGGCGTTGCATACCAGCAATATATATGCGTCTGACACATTGACAACAGACGCCACACGCTACAGTATGCGCCCACACTGTATCCTACTCGGGAACATACACACGGAGCCATGGCGGCGTCAGATTGAGAAGATAAGTCACTCATCAGAGATCAACCCGTGGGCCACCA